GAAAGTTGATATCCACCTGCTCTGTTGCAAGCAGAAGCTCGACCACTGCCTCATCGCCCATTTGGGCTGCCAGGGAAAGTAATGTTCTGCCTAATCGATCTGGGAAGTTGATATCTACCTGCTCTGTAGCAAGCAGAAGCTCGACCACTGCCTTATGGCCAAATATGGCTGCCATAAAAAGCGGTGTATGGCCATTTACAGAATCCGGGAAGTTGATATCCACCTGCTTTGTTGCAAGCAGAAGTTTGACCACAGCCTCGTGGCCGTATCCGGCTGCTAGGGAGAGTGGTGTCTGGCCATTTTTGTGATCTGGAAAGTCGATATCCACCTTCTCCGTTGCAAGCAAAAGCTTAACCACTGCCTCATGGCCATATCGGGCTGCGATGGAAAGTGCCGTCCGGCCATATTCAGAATCAAAGGAGTTGATATCCATTTTCTCTGTTGCAAGCAGGAGCTTGACTACACCAGTCAACCCTAAAGATGATGAAATTAGAAGTCTTGAAGCACCCTTAGGAATGCGATACATAGCATATGCAAGATTAGACCATGTTTCATAGACAACAGAGTTTGGGTCACAGATTGAGTGTGCACGTTTGATTAGCGGATCCTCATCTCGCACCCGCGCTTGATGGTAGTGTGTGACCCAGGATCTTGATGCATATTCATCAAAGTCCCCTTGGTGAATGCCTGTCCACTCACCAGTCATCCACGAGATCAATGCAATGCATATAGTTGCAAGAATCCGATGAGACTCCTCTGGTACGAGTGCATGCTTCCATCCGGTGACCTGGAACATACTTTCCTCAATAGCGGACTTATCACTCAAAACTAAGAATTCCTTCGCTGTTTGGTGCAGGAAGTAAACTTTCTCATTTATGATAATGACGAAGAGTCCACACAAGTCCCTGAGGGTTTTTCTGAAGCGCTCTTTCGGTTCGACATCATCACTTATAGCCGTGAATGTTTGGCAGTCCGCATTAAGGTGCAATGCTAAGGCAAGAGATAGCTCTTCCAGTAAGAGCGGCCTTACCGCAGCCGTAATGATATGAAGAAGAGCTTTAGCCTTGGGTTTATCAACACTCCTGTCTAGAATCCTTTCATAGGCGCTTTCAACGGTTTTTGGAAGATTCTGTACCACTCGACGGACATTGCCTTTCGTGAAACCTGGTATGTTCTCGATAACATCTAAGGTAAGACTAACCCACAAGTAGGTTCTATTCTCAACGGCAGTCAGTTGGTGTTCGAGCATGGTGTGTTCGCCTGCCTCGAGTGATCTTCGTTGACTGATATCAGCAACCCTTTTCCTGATGACAAGGTTGATCTCACGAGCTATTTGCTCGACTTCTTTCTCGCCATCACCGCTCAAGTGAATCGTAGGTAGCTTTGCCTCAAGGTCCGAGAATCCACGACGTATGTGGTCGTATGGTCTGCTTGTCATCAAGAATTTGAGCTTGCTTTGTCGGTATTGTCCCGAGTAGTATGCACTAACTTCTTTGATAAGTTGGGCATGGTCCTGACACTCGTCTAATGCATCCAGAATGCAAACAATTTCTCCAGCCGTTGTGCGAGAAGCGGCAGATATAAGCATGTTCCATAACTCAGCCCATGATTGAGCAAGCTTTTTCCCATCAGTCTCCAGCTTATTTAGGTCTCTATCTTGTAAAAGCTGGGGCTGTGCAATGAAAAGTTGACGTAAGATGGCTGCCAGTGCACCTGCTGCATTTCTCTGATCTGGAAAGTCGTCTTTGAAGAAGAAGTAACAAACGGTTCGTTTATTGTCATTGAGAAGAAGGTCATCAACTAGATATCTAGCTAAGACTGACTTGCCGCAACCTGGATCGGCTGAGACCCATAAGAGACCAGCGAGGTTATTGGGAGAACTCTGTTGCCACCTCTGAAAGGTACCGTGTGTGGTGAACCATTCACAAGTTCCAGGCACACGCCTATCGTTTCTGTTTTTGCGATCTTTGTAGGGGCAAGTGTAGAGTAACTTGAGAAACTTTCTGATCCTCTCATCCCGAGCCGATGTTGTCGCCCATAGATCGCGTTGGTGTGCGACATTTTGGATTTCTTCGATTCGTTCCAGAAGATCCTTGTGCTTCTGCTTTGTGCCTTCAGCTTCAATGAGGGAAGTCGTAGTTTCGATGGACTTTTCGTGTTTCTCAATATCTTGGCACAGGCTAGCCCATCCGTCCGAGTCCAAGAAGTCTCTTAGGAACTGCGCAGCTGAGCGTCTATGTAAATAGCAGAGCGCGCGGGCCTGGAACTCGAGAATCTTGCAGCAAAGCGAGGTCAAAGACTCCCTGAGTTGTTTTAGAAGATCTGTTTCCTGGCCCGTCTGAGAAGTCAGGTACAGATCTTCCCTCGCGCGAAGTCGAATCATGGACTCGGAAATCAGGTCTAATCCTCGAAGAAGGACGGCGTGCTGTTCTACTGCTTGAATAATCATCTGAATGAAGTTAGTAGTCTGCGTACAACAGAGCGCGTCGGCGAGAGCATCAAGTCAGGGCTTACACCAAAGCACACCATCACACCAGCGCAGGCAATCGAGGCGGGCGGGCTTGCACTTGCAGCCGTACTGACAACCTCCTTAACGGCGAGGATGTTTTTGAACACTTTGTTGAGCTGGTCTCGCACAGGGACACTATGGTCTCCCAGGTGAACTTCCCATTTCTTTGTCTCGGCTTCAGCTGTTTTGGCATTAAGGAGTTTGCAGAGTTGTTCGTGGTAACTTGGATCACCGTGTTGCAGATCAAGACGATATTGAGATTTCAGTATATCCATCGATTCCGATAGAACCTCGGCCAGTTCACGGTTCTGTTTCATTTTTTGCTCGGCCAAGATCCAGAGATCGCTGGGTTGAGAGGTCGATTGGGGGTGCTTTTCTGGCTTGCATTCCGACTCCTCTGGCGAGGTTGTATCCTCCTTTTTCGGTCTGGTTTTGTTTTCAGACGATGTTTTCTCTTTCTGTCGCCGTGGTTTCTTGAAAAGCCGCTTAGCCATAGAGCAGAGATCAGGCATGGTAGTGGCTCCCGTTGAATCTTGCGGTTGGAGATGACGAGAGCCTTTCTGTGTTGACTTTCAGGAGGATTGTCACCGGTACTTTTAGAGCGGCAGTAAATCGTTGGAAGCTGGGTGCTAGTTCGCTTATATGTTTGCTTGTCACCACCGGACCCCGCCCCCCTCACTAATGTGTTGGTGCGGCTGAGCGGCAGGGGTGCGACAATGCTGATTGCCATCACAAGAAAGCGATTCAGAACATCGATCAATTGCAGTCCTACTATCGAAAAAGAGACGGAGTGGCCCTGCGTATTGCTTTAAAATATCCTTCGACACAATTGCCTTACTAGATTGGAAAGCGTCATCGACCGAGACAAGAGGCATTCATTGCAATTGAGGTGGTATGCTCATGACGCTGGATGTTGATTGTGTGATTCTCCATTTGTGATGATGCATCGAGCAGTATTGCAGATGGCCGTCGCCAACCCAATCACTATTCGCCCATACCATTTGCGTTAAACTGCTATGGGTAAAGTGGTGAGCGGGAGATAATTATAGACCCGATTTTGTATATCTTTCTTGAAATCTTACACCAAACTCCTTGTTCTGTATTGTTAGCTATCTTGAGTCAAGTCAATCTTAAGCCAGAGGAGTCGATCGCAAAAAATGGAAAGTTTTCCTCAATGATAAAGAAGCCTAGTAGAAGTCCCTTCATATGGGACTCTTATTACCCTGATATCCGCATATTTAAGGATAATATCTCTTGAGTAGGCTTAGTGCTCCTCTGTATCACTTCAAGTGTAGCGACTAATCACTATATAGTTAATAGATCGATCGAAGAGTAGTACGCAAGGCAGTAAGGCAGCAAGCATTGATTTCTGGCATCGCTACGTCATTTCATTCATTCCTGGTAGGGCTTAGGGCTGGGCGAGCCCATGATCGACTCCCCTCACATCACGTGAGCAAGTGCCGTCGATTTCGATTGCTGAGTCAGGTGGGCCTCCCCAAGGGGATGTTTTCCAGTCAAACTGGAACTTGCGGCGGTTTCCAGTTCCAATCTTGCGCCCTGCTACCTCGGGAGCACATTCTCGTCAACCAGGCCATGTTGGGCCCCTCAACATCCACGCTACACCTTGCACAATCATTCATGGACTGATTCTCTTCTCGTCTTATCAAACACATTCAATGTGAACACCGCGAACATCCTGCTCAGTGCCCGCGCCGCATTCGTTTCCCGCCTAATTCCGTCATCTCCGCTGTTGTGTTCGCATGTTCTAGCTTCGAGATAGCAATCCACATCCTTACACCGACGATCCTTCACTTCTTGAGCAGAAGCTCCTCGAAACCCGCCTCTCGTCTCTTCGCTCACTTCACCACCCACAATGACTTCTCCTTATCAGTCATCTATCTCGTACTCGCCGTCCGTCGCTGGTCCCGACATGGCGGGCACGTCCCGGGCCATCGCCGACCTGCCTCAATCCCAAGTCGACGCGATTATCCGCACAAAACGGAAGGCGCGCGAACCCAAGGCCTGCTACCCCTGTCACGCTCGGAAAGTGAAATGTGACCGTAATCTTCCCTGCGATGGCTGTGTCAAGCGCGACCATGCCGATCTCTGCTCCTACGAACGCCCCTCCAAGAAGCGCATCATGACGGGCTCGCTTCCGCAATCATTTAGTCCAACCGTCCCTGGGGAGACCATCATAATTCCACCCGAGCCTCCAGCACGCCCGAAACCAGAGGCGCCAGTTAATCGACCAAGCTTGGTGGGCCAGGTAGGGCCCGGACGAGTATCGATCGCGCGCGAGGAATGGGACAATGTTCGCACTCGGTTGCGGGAGATGGAGCAAACGATCAGCAATCTGCGGGTTGGGCTCGAGAGAGCCGAAGATGGACACGGTTCTTCGCTGGAGACCGGGAGCATACAGAGTGGTGATGCCAGTAGTCGGTCGAAGGCTGCTTCCCCGGAGCGGGAGGGCATCCATGCGCCCAACACTTTTGGTGAAGGCACGGTGCACCTGGGGTCCCGGTCGGTGTTGGCGTACATCCTCAACAACAAGTCTGGATCCGATCAGCTTCAGGCCTTGCTGGAAGGTGGGATCTTGCCGAAGCTGGGCCTGGACAACGAATCGGCAACGTATCCGTTTGTTGACCTCTGGTCTTCTGACATGTCAACTTTCGACATCAGCGCCGTCTGCAGTGCCCTTCCTACCGACCAGCAGTGCAAAGAGTCAGTTTGCATCTACCTGTACGTGAGGAATTAATGCTAACCACTTCTACCTGCAGCTTCTTCTACTATTACCGAGACATCGCAGGCGCCATTTACCCTGTTCTCGAGGATGTTCCACAATTTGAGATGAATCTTCACCTTCTGCTAAGTAACCGAGCATCGATGGGTGGTGTATATCGCGCCGATGCAGACCAATCTCAGAAACCCTTTGGTGTGACTATTGCCTACATGGGATTGTTGTTCGCCGTGCTCGCCTCTGGCTGTCAATCGTCGGATCTCCCGGGCAAAGAGCGAGAGTTGACATCCCAAGTCTATGGTTCGTCTTTTTCTACCCTCATTTCGTCGACACTTACTGACTATAGTAGTGTGCTGCTCATACCAGTGTCTTCGTATGACCAACTTCCTCTCGCAGCCGACGATAGATGCCATGCAAACACTACTCGTCATTGGCAACGTCTTGTCGTACAATATGAACCCCGGAATTTCCTACGTGCTTCTTGGTATGACGCTTCGGATGGGCTTAGCTCTCGGTCTACATGTCGAGTCCAGTCGCTTCTCAGCTGCAGAGCGTTATCGCCGCCGCCACGTTTGGTATGTTGAATTTAGCCCCAACACGAAATGACGTGCAAGGAAGTATGATTCTAACTATAGACAGGTGGTCGATGGCATGGCAAGACAGCCATTTCTCACTTTCCTATGACAGGCCCTCTACGACCGCTGTGTGCCAGCCCGAAATTGCGTATCGTGACGATCCAAAGCCTGGCGAAATCTCGTACTTTGAGACGCTGTGTCGAGTCATTGGTCTTGCATTGGAAGTTGTCCGCAGTCGCATGCTGAGTCCGCACTCGCAATTGAGCTACAAGACTATCCAGGGCTACAAGGAACGCATCCAGCAGATCATGATAGAAGCCAAGCCTCACCTCCGGGATCGTAAATACTGTCTCTCTGCAACGGAGCACCTCGAGCGAGTCGTTCTCAAATTGCACACGTCATACTTCTCCTCCGAGCTTTATCGGCCAGCGTTGAAGCTGGCGGGAGAAACGGCCGACCCAGCCGCAGCCAGTATGCGTGCCGACTGTGTCAACAATCTGATGACGACGGTGGAGGCGTACATCGAAATGCATACTGTCAGTTCACATGCGTCTCGATCGTGGATTGCTTTACAGCGAGCCATCAGCTCGATTTTCCTCTTGGCAGTTACCGAAGAATCCAAAACCATCCCCCGTTTCTGGAGCTTGTTGCAGCAGCTCAAGGTCATTATCTCTGAGCGAGCGAACGCCGAGCTTGACTTCAACTCAGCTGATGCCGCTGCTCCTCCGACGGATGGGGCCGCTCCCCCTACACTCAGCACCATTCCTCGAGCACCTAGCACTGCCGCTCCGAGTCCAGCAGGCTTGAACTCTGCATCACCCGGATCCGTTGGTGTCGGTGTTGATACGCAGACGCAGTGGGCCAAGCCGTTGACCAAAACCCTCCGCGCACTGGAGAAACTCGAAGCAGCATTCACCACCCAGGCCGCTCGAGCCGCAGGTCAGGCTGGGTCCCCAGCGTACCTTAACCCGCATGCAGGGTCCAGCATGGGAGTTGCCGGTGTAGCAGCTAGTATGACACCGAGCCTCGGATCTCTCCCGCCTCCGACTCCGGAGAGTTCGACCAGCGGCGAGTGGTCCATCCCTAATATCCTCGATCGTGCGGCCGAGTACATTCATCCACCCTTGTGGAGCTGAGCGCGATAGTAGGAGAAAGGTAATGAACATCATACTGGCGTTTGTGTGGCTCTTTAGCATTTACTGAGATGGTGGGGTTAGCTGGGACTAGGCGATTATGATCACAGCCGGCGCATGTTATGTGGAGTTCGAAAATGGGTTCACATTATTGTCATTAGATACTCCCTCTTCATTCTAATTTATCTATGTGTAGTGTACTCAAGGGATGGAACACGCTCGTATTTCCGCTGTGGTTTGTTTGTTTCTTTCCATTAAGTTTGTACCGAGTAATACTGGGGCTCAATCTCCGTTATCGCCGGATCAATGACCTCATCGCCAACCTGTTTCCATTGCGTCCGCAGTGGACGAAGATGCCTACTGGGACATTCTACTAAGCATCTTGCTGACACTCTACTTACCTCCGTTATCGAAGGACGGACTCGGAACAGAATATCTCGTCCTCGATTTCTAACATCTACAATTACAAATCCTACGCACTGAAGGATGCTGGGCCACCTCTCGCTCAAGTAGACCGGAACCCGAGCACTTAACTCCGCAATACACTCTTGACCAGCAACAGTATATCAACCACATCCACCTCGATCACAAAGCCATAGTATCACAGTCCACAGTCCACAGTCCACAGTCCACAGTCCAGTCTACGGTTCACGCAGTTTGAACTATTCTCACCCCCGATTTCAAAGTGCTTCCAACAATTCACCAACCCCAACACCCGCAAGAACAATGACTACCTACTTGATAACCGGCGCAACCCGGGGCATCGGCCTCGAACTCACGCGCCAACTGGCCGCCAAGCCCGCCAGTGAAGTTCGGCAGATCTTCGCCGCCGCGCGATCATTATCATCACCGTCACTATTATCGACAACAACCAGCCAAACGCCATCCGACTTCCATGCCCTCGTGAAAGAGCATCCCTCGCGCATCACGCCCGTCCCCCTCGACATCACCGACGAAGCCGGCGTGCGACGAGCCGCGCAGTTGGTCGAGCAGGCGCTGGAGGGCCGGGGGTTGGATGTGCTGATCAACAATGCGGGGGTGATGGGGCGGGGGTCGTTGATGGAGATGTACTTCCTCTCCTTTTCCCTTACTTTGCCTATCTTCTCGGTAGGGGTGTCAGTAGACGGTACCTTATGACTAACATGGAATGGGGAATGCAGGAACGACCTCACCTCCTCCTTCGACGTCAACGTCAACGGCCCGCATCTCGTCACGCGCGAGTTCCTCCCGCTGTTGCGGAGGGGCGCCACGAAGAAGATTGTGAATATGTTCGTCCCCCATCCCCCTTCCGATCCCACTTTCTGGGAGAAACTGACGAAACAGCTCCACAACCGTCGGCTCCTTCGCGATGCAATCCGTCTACCGGGAGGCCATGAGTCAGTCGTACAAGATCACCAAGGCGGCGCTGAACATGCTTACCGTGCTGTACGCGCAGGAACTCGAGCAGGAGGGGTTCGCGGTGTTTTGCGTTAGTCCGGGGGTGCGTTCGTCCCTTCCATCTATCCTTCCTTCCTTCTGTTCTTCCTTTCTTCAACCACTGGGATCTGGTCAGAATGGTCAGAACGGTCATCAAGGCCAGAGAAGAGAGTCATAAGGTCAATGCTAATTCAACCGCAGTGGCTCCAAACCGAGATGGGCGGTCCGCGGGCGGATCTCCCGGTGGCGGACGGCGTGCGCGCAACGCTGGAGATCATCCTCAACAAGGGGAAGGAGGGGAACGGGCGGTTTTTCAACATCCACATTCCGGGCTGGAATTCGGGGTGGAATCGGTATGATGGCGGGGAGTGTGCGTGGTAGGTTGGTTGCTCTTCTGCTCTGTAACGGAGAGAGGAAATGAGTATAGGTGCAGAATCCAAACGAAACCTTCTGGCTTTGGTCAAACTGGATCTCCTGCTGCCTAAAGCAAAGGCCGTAGACAAGGATCCTCAGCTCAACCCCGACCCTCCCTCGGAGAATTTTACCAATCCCATCCACCCATTCATCCGAACAAACAAAAACCATCACCAGCAACCAGACAAGACAGCACCGAGCAACCAAATCAGTCCCAATCCCAAGAAACCCAGTGACGGAATCCAATCCCTCCTGCGAACGGATCCCACAAACCCGAGCCCTCTCTCTAAACTAGCCCTCCCCCTTTTCCTTCCCACGAGAACTCCCAGTTCCTCCCCAAACCAAACAAAAGCAAAATGCAAGAGAAAAAAAAAGCAAACATCCTCCTTCCCTCCCCCTCCACCTCCTTCTATCGTATGCCATGCACCACGGCCCGATTGTCACTTGCCTCGTCTGGCACGGTCACTGGATTCGAAATTCCTGTTACCCCAGGTGTATGTATGGATGTATGTATGGATGTACATACTGCGTATTACCACTTCGCTGGCGTGTATCCCTCCGCAGCAAGCAGAGCCGGCTTTCAATGATGATTCCCTTGATGGTGACGATTGTAGTTCCTCGCGGGTACATACATAGACCATCCAATGTACCACCCCATACCTAAACCCACGCGAGATGGGAAAAATAAAAGGTACACGGCAGTGAGTTTCCCACGCGGTGGCGATACTTTAGAGGTACTACCGACTCCGTACATTGTATATAGAAGAGCTACTGATTCTTCATTTTCGAGTGCAATCAGCATGGCAAGGATACGTACAGGAAAGGGGGCAAGAATCACGGGGGTCGGTAGAATCCGACGTCTTGCTGTCCGGTCTTGGACATGCGATGAACTGTGGTCGAAACAGCGACTGCTGCATTTTGTTTTGTTTATCGTCTGGTGTGTGCTATGATGCATACATCTACCGTGTCCCAAGGATGGGGATCCTGGTCTACTTCTTCTAAGACATTCAGTGCTGTTCCGCTCAGATTGGTGCGTCTTAACTCCTTTTAAGTCCATATCTGCGGTGGGTGCACTTCGGCGTTCCTTCTGAGACGCGCAAAGCTCGTGCTGCAAACTACTGCATGCGGAACCAGGGAGGAAGAAATCGAGGACGACAAACAGTGATCAACGAATACTGGCTGGCAGAGTCTTCCGTATGAGTGGTGAGGTCGGATTTTACACTTAGCAGCCGCCATGTTTGCTTCTTGCCACAGCAACTGTCTTCCGTGGCTCACCGCTTCATCATGTCCAGAAGCTACGAGGTACTCTCCAAACTTCAATTCACCGTTGTCATATCTTGAAATCTATCCTATCGCAGAGAAAGATCTGATGAAAATCACTGGATCTGATTTCGCAGTCTATGTACCACAATCTCCTCCCAAAAAGCTCAATATTGGTATATATATAAAAATGAAGTCCATTCACATCATCATCAGCTGCATGCTTTCATTGGCCGGTAGTGAATGTAGCGGGCAAACAGACGTTGAAGTACCTGCATTAACCCAGTCACTAGCTGCCATCATGCCAGGGGATCCAGCCATCGACCCCTGGTTCTGGCACTGGCACAAGGTTTCATGCAACTCAACAGGACTCGACGATCCTGAGAGTTCGACGGTGCTGCTTGCAGTCGGTGGTGATTGCGCCGTTGGTAGGCTGGTCGGCGCTGAACCATGCTGCGTATTCTGCGAGAGCACGATAATTGCTTTTGGTCGCGCTGGTCCTGTGCTCAAGGCTTGCATGATCTGTGGCAACGCTGCCTCTGTGGCAAGACGGTCAGCTTTATGAGTCTGCAACCCCAAATGCGTCTTACCTGTTGTGATGTAGTATAGCGACGATCCCGAGTACTGAGTTTGGCCATTCCATGGCTCGCAAAGAGGTGGTGCATTTGCATCAGCTGATGCGTATCCACCTGTCATTCCTTGCAGGATTTCAGAAGCATTAGAGCTAGACCGCGGGAAATAGGGGTGGTTTCGGAGGGCCGACGGGGACACGTTCGAGGCATCTATCTCGGTGATGTCGTACAGAGGCGATGTGATTGTCATTTGCGTCGAGTACAACGGCAATGGCGCCAACGCAGAATTGCATGATGAGCAGAAATATCTTGACTGGGACATATACGCTGATGCATAGCCGGAGGACCCGTCGGTCATCGACGAAGCGGAGGTGCCGCTGGGGTCAAAGACAGGCGAAATTCGATCCATCGTTGGCGGCCCGTTGATTGAGCTGGGATGGTCCCAACCATTGAGGCTTGCAGCTGCTCGTAGTTCACTGGCGATGACACGCTCCTGAAGCTTTGCGATGCGGTCTCGGATCTTTCGACCTATGTTGCTTGTGAGTTATGGGGTTGACTGCTTTCACGTATTGATCCCACTCACGATGATTCCTCTGTGACAAACGATTCTGCAATCTCCTCCGCTCAATCGGATCCTGCTTCTGTCCAGAGCTATCGCTAGAGCATCTGTCTTCCTTGGTAGGCTGTGTCCGCATCTTCATAGACATCAAAGGAATGGGAGCAACGCGGGTGTTGAAGTACTGCTGTCGGCGTGAACAAAAATCTTCCGTAACGGCGAACACCATACGCAAGTAGCATTAAAGATAGCCGGGTGCGAGGCTGGAGGCTGGATTCATATATTTGGCGTCTTGCGGGGTAGCAATGCGTGTTGGGAGTGACAGAGCCTCCACCTGCTGCTGCGTGTTTCGCTGTCAAACCGTCAGTAGGCCGATCTTGCTGCAATCTAACCTTCCTTCCTTATAAGGATAATATGCACTCAGCTCACCGTATCCGAGAACTCAAGGGAGCCAAATCCCGGATATTCCAGGGACCTTCTGCTTGATGTGATTGGCTCGAATAGAAAATATTACGAGGTTGCGCAATGGGTGCAACATGAGGTCGGGCGTATAACCAAGGAAAGGTCGTGGCTCGTGCTCGCAAAGCAGTATTTGAATATCCACCGTGCGTGGTTACTCGAACCATTCTATATGTCTTCTCTCAGGCCCTCCAGCCAGCCAGTCAGCCATGGCTCCTTGCTTTTCCACTGCACTGGTACTTGACTCGTGACTTCTCAAGCCACGCGCTGGACGTCCTGTTTCCAGTCCGCGCTGCAACCCCGGTCCATGTCATACGCCGGGCCTTGGCTGTAAAGGTGCCCAGACAATAACGATCATAGCTCTGAGGCGCGGGCAAGGCTTCACTTGGCGCTGCTGATCATTGAAGAGTGTGTCCAACCATGATCAGCGAACAGGCTTTGCATGAATATCGAGAGGGCTAGGTCACAAAGGTCGAGCCAGATCTGCCCGCCAAATGAGTCTCAGCTGATATCATGCATCCAGCTGTCCGGACCTAGAGTTATTTTTCTCATCGAGTATACTAGTCTGGCAAGACATGCGCACGGATCCAGAGCAATAATTATAATGAACTGACCGAGCTATGCGGCAGCCGGGAACGGATGAGAGCAGGCAGGCCTGGGGCCCTGGGGCCCTGGGGAAGGGCACAAGCAAGTCGTTCCAGTGCTTCGGTATACACGACCACTCCTTTTTTGCATGTACCCGGGAGCGCCGTGTAGTATGACCATGTGTACGGTACCCGTCAGTGCGCATCCTCGATCACGGTGCACCAGTTAGGGCTAAATGACCCTCTTGGCGTAGCTAATGACGAGCTTACCCAAGCTAGTCTAAACAATACAGGCCAACAGCAATGCAGATGATACATTTCTTGGGCTGAACATGATGAGAGTGAGATTAAAATTAGCTCAGCATCCTAGCCTCGAAATGGTATGGCTGGCGTACCGTCACGGTAGCGATTGGGATAGTGAACCAGTTGCATGACCGGTAATACTCGACCATGGCTCGATTGGGTTGCATATAGGTCAAATGCGAATTGAAAGTGTAGAACTACTGAATACCAGTCAGGATGAAAATCCTTTGCAAGCTTAGTGTTCATCATCACTCGGAGAAACAAGGCTCTCCTACTATGGGCGGATCCGAGAATGACGATTAGTGGTGGTTCGAGGGAGGAATATTGAGTGGCAGTGTAGAATTGGTCGCTTAGGATGCCTGAGCTCAGCTTCACGGCTGATCTGTCGTCAGCATCGAGCCCTGACGTGGGTTGCCCCGAAGACCAATCAATCGATTTCCTGGCAAGCGAGGTTGGAGAGACTGAAGCCGACAGGCAGATGAGACAGCGTGTCAGATCATCAAGGGCAATAGATCCCAGCTCCGAGTCAATGGAAAGGCAGACCAGGGTATTCGTATCCGGACTGGCGTGTTTTGGATGTGAGTTGACCAGAGAATCACTGGCAAATGATCCAGCTTCTGTGTTACCCTGATGAATCTGGAGCAACTTTGAGCCGTCCTTGGAAGGGAACCGTGATTGTGTGGTAGCACCGATCTCGGGTAACTGGGAAGTGTTTGTTGACTGATCCATTGATGGAATGAGTGACTGAATGAGTGGGTTAGTGGGGTGGGGGGAAGCAAGAGGGAAGAATGAAGAGGGAAGAGGGAAGTGGAAGCTGAAGCTGAGGTGGAATTCACTTTGGATGGATGGATAGACTAAGGTAAGGCAATGGCACTCGTCCCGTGACTGAGTCCCTTCCCTGTCTGAAACACACACACACACACACACACATACACTTGCACTTGCACTTGCACACCCTCTCTATCTCTCTTGCTCTTTTGCTTCACCCTTTCTGTCACTCTCTCTCGTTCGGTCAGTCTGATCAACAGCCAATTCTAGTTGCATCAGATTGCAGACATGTATCGGTTCAAAGATTAATAGCAGACAGACATCCTCAAAAGCAAGCATGGAATGGTTTAAAACCCTCATTATTCCCTGCTGTGACACATTTCCATTGCAGTCGATCATCTCTCCCACTGCGGCCCTTCTCTAATTGACACCCAGCTTCAGGATATGGAAGGAAAAACCGGTTACTTTCCAGTGACCGGTGTCGGCTTCAACCGATCATGAATCTGGGCATGGTCCGAGAGCTGCACGCTGGCTCTGAACCTCCCCCATGGCATTGCTTGAGCGAGTCTAGACGTCAGTTGTCATTCTTGACCAGGTACCCCCGTTACTCTGTTTCCATCTGCTTCTTTCCCAACTCCCTCATGTTCCAGAGAGAGCTTTGGGCATGATTTCCTCCAAGCCCATCACCATGGCTAAGGGGACCGCAAGGATGCTGAGTCGCCCGAGGAAGACCGTATTGATGCACTCTCTCAGTACCGTAACATACTAATCTCAAAGGTTCAAGAAGCCTACATGAATCGGAAACAACGGACCAAGTCAAGAACGAAGTTAGCACTCACGCTAACCCCCACATCACAATCAGGAAATCAGATCATGAAATTCGGGGATCCAGCCCCACATCACGGCAACGGCGCTTGCGAAAGGTGTTGCAATCAGGGCCGGGGCGACTTTTTCTCGGAGGGCCCTACAAGAACAGACGTCGACGCATTGCATTTGATCACATGTCAGGAGGGGCCGGGGGGAGCGTGCTTTTGTCCATCGACGTTCGCCTGTTGGACAAGGGCATCCGAGCGAATTGACTGGATCCCCAGTTGTATGACCCCAGAGATGGCACAGAAAGGCGAATCGGATTTTCATTCAGACGGTCTGTTCGACCACCGTGGGAGGATGGCTGTCTGCAATCATCGGTTGCACTGCGAAGTGGCTTGAACTCTGCTGATTGTTGTTTAGGCTATAATGCCTCGGTATGAGCAGGTCGCGTGCGGTAGCAGGGTACTATACCCATAAGCTTGGGATCCGGTCAAAATCGCCCCTCGCCAGCTCTGGAGTGAGAATCGTAGATGGCCAGCAAGGAATGAGGCTCACTTCACTCTCTTCGGCGATAGCTCCGCTTCCGTATCTTGAGTGTGTAGTCAATTATGGGGACCTTCATGCATTTTCTGGTGGACAAAAGGATATAGTTCAAGCATGACACGCAACTCATACAACCCTTGGGTGACTCTCGGGACGGCAACCTCTACCACAGCAGCTGCCTCTGGTCTACCACCGATAGGTTCCAGGCCCTCTAGGCTCTTACATAGAATAAGATGCTCACGGATCGGATGCGTTGGTGGCATTGGTGCGAGGCAAGTACTACTCAACAGTGTGAAATCAGATATCATGCTTATGCCGCTTCTGAGGCAGGATATGAAGCTCTCAGCAAATCATATACAGGAGATGAGCTCCCAAGGCCACTTTCTTCACAATCAATCTACAGAGTCTCAAGACATGGTTCTTTTACGTCACAATATCCTTCGATATACTCATTCCTCCTTCGCTGACTTATATTGACGTATGTAAAGATTCACCTTTTATCTTTATGATTTTACCACACATCAACATAATTATTTCTAGTGGCAAAGGGAGAATATTTGATGAGTTCAAAGAAACAGGATCAGTTACATACTTCGTAACAGGCCAAAGCCACTTGAAATTAAGAAAGATATACCTCCATGTTGGGTCCTCCTCCAATCTTAGGTCACCAGACGATGCCCTTTCTGAAATTCATCTGGTTTACTGCCACGGAGATCAGCGAGACGGCTGCAGTGGCGACGGCACTACCCAAAAAATATACACGGCCGGCAGATCTGACATCCGCTTAAAACTTCCCACATATGGTATTGACAGTCAACACTGTCTGTACCTCAATGGCATTGCCTTTAATTCCAGTCTTTCCCGGATCATGTAGTCCACCGCTAACTTGCAAGTCTCGGCCATGTATAATCCTGCCTACTAAGGCGCGGGCCGTACCGTGTATTCCATGGATCGATAGATCCCATCACGGGATGAAAGGTCTAGGCCCCACAATAATCCCATGGCTGTGGCAAATCCAAGCTCAGTAACTACGATTAAGCAGGAGCTGAAAGATGCGAGGTTGGGACCGTGAGCCCGACACGAGTCGAACGCGCATACTCTCAGAGGCAGTCGCAGGCTACGTTCTTACCTGGGTGAGTCAAATGAGTACTACAAGTCGAAGTCGAAGTAGAAAGGAGCTGAGCAATACAGGCATCAAGGAAAGAATCCAGATCATAACATTAGATCATAGCGAATCAAAAAAGGTCGAATGACCCGGAGTAGTACCACGGAACATGCAACATGTAGCATACATTACAACCGCAATTTGGATATCATGAGGATAAGACACAGAATGGGAAACTTCAAAGACCACCAGAGGGTCTAGCCTGCTCGGGGCCGGGGCCCTGTGACAGCGAAAAGTCCTAGCGGCTTCACGGTGAACGCGCCATTATAGTTTTCGGTCGCCGGGTTGGTCACGTAGTTCTTGTCGGCCAATTCAAACTCCACGTCTTTGAGGATGCTGACCAGCGTGAAGAACGACCATTCCCACGCGTACTGCTTCCCGATACAGTGACGCTTGCCGTTTCCGAATCCTTTCTTGACACTCGACGGCAACCGGTCGTACTTCTCGCCGACCATACGCTCGGGCTTGAATGCATCGGGATCCTCGAAGATGGCCGGGTCGCGATTCACACCATACAGGATCGCGATGAGGGGTTGATCACGCGGAACTTCGTACTCGCCTCCAGCGAGGTAGACTGGGCCTTCGTCGGATGGGATGGCTTCGATGTTGAAGCCAGGGGCCGGAGGGGCGAGACGCATAGCTTCGCGAAGAATGGCGGTGCAGTAGGGGAGGTTTGCCAGATGCTCGTGTTCGATCTGGGCACCGGGTCCTCCAACGACAGCATCCAGTTCTTCCCGGGCGCGCGCAATCTCCTTGGGGTTCTTCATCAGATAGTAAAGGGCGAACGCAACAAGGTTCGGTGCCGTTGCGCTGCCGATAAAGACGTTGATGATTTCGTCAATCTGTTGGACGTCGTCCAGTCCCTTTCCTGTTTCTGGATCTGTGCCCTCGATGATCGCGTGTAGCATATCTTTCTTGGCGGACGGGTTGGCGCGCCGATGTGCGATGCAGTCAGCTGAATAATCGCGCAAAGCCTTGTTGAAGTTGTCGAACTTGCGCTGATAGAGGAGCCAGTTGAGAAACTTCGGGCGGCTAGGGCGTCGGACAGCTTCGGTGGTAGCGCCCTCCATGGCCTTGATGAGCGTCGGCTCTGGACCTTCTAGGCAGTGCAGTCGCTGGTCGAAGAAACACAGCATGTTCGCGGCATGGTTAAGACGATCTAAGTCGTCGGTGACATTGACGCGCTGGCGCGGTCCAGCGGTCCACTTCCTGATCAGATCGCTCGATACCTCGCGCATGTCCGTGAAGACCTGCGCGACGGCTTCCGGGGTGACAAGGGGCGCCATGATGCGGTGGGCGACGCCCCAAGAATCCATTTCACTATGGAAGGCTGTGAATAGACTCGAGTGAACCGCCTGTCGAATCTCGACGATGGGCCCGTTGACACATTTTCGGAAGCGCTTCTCGTCGCAGATTTCTTCCAGGAGGGCGGCGCCAGTGACCAGAACAATGTCGTGGCCGAGAATGGTGACTTTACAAATGGGACCTGCAAAGCATAACAAACATTAGAACCGAGAAGATACATCAAGCCTGGAATAGGTGAAGGCTTACGATACTTGGTCGAAAGTTTGTTGAATGACATCCAGGGGTTGCCAGAGTTCACGTCGAAGAGGTTACCGAGGAGGAAGACCCCGGGGGGCTTGGGAATTGCTGACGGCATGATGTGATGTTCGAGGGACAAATAGAGCAGAAAGCAAGAAACTCAAGTCAATCAGAGGACGCAAGCCTGTGTTATAAGCCAGCCAGCCAGCCTCCACACTTTCGGTGTGTAGGCGGCGTTTCGGCTCCCCCGTGCGACCTCCATAGAGACGGTACGAGTTGTGAATGGTTTTGAAAGAGTGCTGTGGCTGCAGATCTCAGCTGAGCTGAAATCTCGCCGATTCGCGCGACGATCCCTTCGATAGTCGGTTGTTCGCGCCCTTGACGAGGCCCCACTGGCGTCACCCCAGTGGTCGAGCGCCAGAGCCGATCTCCGCACAGATCATGGTTCATCTGGAGGGTGGGAGCTACCTTGCTTGACGCCACGGGAGGGTATGCCACTCAGAATCGACCGGTTGTCAGCGAAAGGGAGGAATGCTCGTAATGTGGTCCAGGGCCCTGTCAACAAGAGCAGACTCAGTGCATGGTCTCTGTACAGTGTACATACTGGTTGCATGAGTGATTGCACTGTCCTTGCCCTGCCCTTGAAGGTCGAAGTCGATCGCCGACAATCATGATGAAAGAAAGAATTTATCAACTGAAGGGATATTGTTGGTTTGTTTGGTTGAAGGAAGCGCACTCCGCAGCTGCAGCGCCAAGAAGGTCCATCGTATCTCCACTTTGGACGTGCCGTAGTGGATAAACAGGGCCCAATGGCATTTCCCACCCACTGCAATCTCACCTCTGCACAACCGAGAGAAAGGAGAGGGCTTGAGGTGAGACAAGTCGTCTGACCGGAGAGGTTCGCTATCCTGCCCAAATCATGGTCGATCGCAAGTCCTTTTAGGTTGATACCAGAATCTGCAGACTAAAGTTGAGTAAGTACTAAAGTAGCACAGGCCCTCTCTGATTATAGTCGAACTCTTACTGGCCGACCACTTCTTGAAACTGAAGTGAAACTGAAGCCAAGCGTAAAAGTAAGTGGTCAAAACTGGAACCGAGAGGTTGGACCTAAGACTTGGAGTTGAATCGAGTGAGTGAGTGGAGAGCTGAAGATCGATCGGAATCCGCCTTTCCCTTCACATGACTGGCCTCTTCTCATGAATTGAAACATCCATTGAATTGATTTTGCAAGTCACCACCAACTCAACTTACACCCATGAAACTTTCTTCCCTGACGTATGTGATACTAGGTTACCAGACCTTCTTTCGTTTGCCCCAACTCGCAACACAGACTAGCGCAACACTGATGCAATAACTACCTATTTATCATGCATGGTACCGAGACCGTAGTTTGTGACCTGTCAGTAGGTTAGTTGTTGCGTCACCACCAGCTTCTAATTTCCCAGTTCCCTCAGCCCATCGCGCCCGTTGCGCTCGTTGCGTCAAATTCAAACATCATGCGACTATCCAGAAGAATGAACGACTCGTATCGGAAGCCTCGTTGCTGTTCTTGATACCTTGACTGACCCGGAACACTGCTATTCCAGACGTCACTGTACCCCTCGAAGAGCATACGCCAGTAGCACGCTTCCGCTGCCTTGGTGAGATACCGGTCGCGGAATGTTTGTACACTATTGCTGGCAATGCGTTCTGCCCGTGATGGGTCGTCCAACAACGGTTCCAACTTGGCTGCCAAGTCACTGAAACTTCTGTCGACTTCGATGTAATTCTGGCTCGGTCCTTCTGAAAGGAGCAGGTAGTGGTGATGCTGGATGTACTGCAGCTTGTGGGCTACAACAACCGAGTTGCACGCCTGGCGGTATTTCAGAGACGCGGAATAAGATCGTCCTAAGATCCATCTTCAGCGTTGCGCTAGACCAGATACAACCATCAGCGTGCAAACGCAAAAGCTTACCTTCAACGTGGGCTATGAACATGTATCGGCAATGGTCCTCTAGGCTCATGACGTTCGTTCGTTGATTCCAATCCACGTGTTTGACATCACCCCACGGCTGGCCTCGCGCAGCATCCATCAGCGCGCGCCGCAGCTTAGGTGCGAAACTGGGCTTTCCTCGCCAGACAAGCTGTCTTTTCTTTTGCGACCAGGGGATTTCTGTGCACTTGATGTGGTCGACTACTTGGTCGTATGGCCCAATGGAATTTTGTACATTCTCTCATGCCCAGTAGCCAAAGTCAGGCATGAGCCAAACCGCCTCTTCTCCGGCAGACCTTGCAAACGCCCAGATAGGCTGGTCGTCAGTGGTCACGTCCGTGACTTTATCCTCCACGGAGAAGACAAACTCCAGATCTTGCTGGATGGCTCGTTCGGGGTTTGTTATCAAGGCACGGTGGATCGCACTCAGCACAGCTAAAATCTTTCGTCGATGATCTTCACCTCGTGATAGCGCGTTCACCACATAAAGCTCTCCGCGATGAATGAACGCCCGCGCCATGCCATGCTTCAACGGGATGTATTCCAAGTGCTCGACGTCAAGGCCACCATGCGTTCTCCAGAATGTCCCTGCACGCAAGATATCTTCGAACAAACCTGGGAAAGCGGCCATGCACTGAGCTCGACTTAATCCTTCATTGCCACTATCTCGACCCGCCTCAAACTTCCAGGCCGAGACAGCAGGAAGTGCAGTCGGAGGGAGAGGCTTCTTAGGAGCACACTTCAAGCAGCTGGCACATTGAAAAGTGGTTGAGGTCAGACACGCACAGTGGCCCGCAGGGATTAACTGAGTAAGTAAAGGGTGGATGTATTCGCGGTCTGAGTTGACGCCGTACCAGATGAGGACGATTCCGATCACAGAGAATAGTCCCATCAAATAGATAGTCTGAAGAAGATGGCTTTGTCGTAAACGCCATCGATGACTTCGAAGGAGTGCCATGATGGAGATGAGGATGGAGGGGCTCTGCTTGTGTGGATGGTGGCTCCCATTCTGATGAAATGGCAAGGTTGTGGATAGGAGAAGATAGAAAAGGCGGAAAGATGATGGTGGAAGCCTAGAGAGGTCATTCACTGCAACAGTGTGCATCTCTGAGAGCCATGACTTCTCTCTGTGAAAGGGGCTGTGTGATGGAAGCTTTGAGATCTGAGGCATACGCGGCAACTGCTGTAAATTCGTGGCTGTCTCAAATCCTAGAGCTCTAAAGAGGTCGGTCCTTCCTCTGGTCGGTGATGCTACTGTCATATCTTACTAACTGAGGCTATGCTAAAGATTTCAGTACACGTCTGGACAGCCTTCCTTCTAATAATATCACGACGATCTGATTATAGACAGGTGCTGGCAGCCGTGGGGGCTTTGTGCTCGAAGTTACATCTCTATGGCGCTCCGGTCTACTTGCTGCTTTACCCTACATGACAGAAGATTCTCAATGATGATACACTTGATGGTCGTTCCGCAAATCATGCTCTCAAGGATCGAGCGTAGATCGTTCCACCCCCGTACGCATAGCATCTGCGTCCGACTTGCTGTATAGGTACTGTACAAGGGATCCACCACTGTCCCGCGCAGTGGATCGTTTAAGAGTGACTGCAGTCTGCAACACGGACTGTCCGTCGACCATAGACGGCGATATGGTGAATGGTAAACGAAATCCTCCGCAGGTCTCTTCTACAAGCATTTGGCATATCAAAATTGAGGTTGTTGAACTGCTACTGGGCGGTGAGCCAAACTCTCCAAACAGGCAAACGCACAGACCACTTTCCACTTGGCAGGTTGACGCGCTTTCAGTTCCACTGCATCCCATCCATAGTCCCAACTGTGTTGTCGGCTTCCATCTTTTACCTTGTCTCCCTTCAACTTGGGGCCTATACTTAATATTTTCTTTTTGACTAACTACAATCAACCCTCACTCTCTTCTCTCTGCAATCTGTGCAGATCCTGCGCCGCACTACGCACATCAGCGAAGGCTTTACCGCCACTCTTTCCCGCGGACTGTTTATCCTCCCGCCCAAACATTCGTCGCCCCTCCAACCCGCCTCATGCCTCTCGGTCGATGGATGCCACCGTCGTGACCGCCCCGTCGTCCGTGAATCTCCCCCTAACAACTCCTGTCTCGCTTTCCACGTGCTCGTATCGCTCATGGAAAAATTCTTGCGCTCCTGGCGCCAGGATGCGCTGAATCGAGGCCAGCATGACGCAGCCATTTATATCGGCGACAAGGTGCTGGCCCTGACCAGTGAGTCCCCCGACGGTATGCGGCCGTGAGCTCTTTGCTCGCATGTCTACACGGACTAATCTAGGGACTACCGTGTTCCAGACAGTGACTCAGATGCCTTCTGGCTAGCACAGGTTCATTTCTCGAACAACAACTACGCCCGCGCCCTGGCCCTCCTCTCCCGCAAAGACCTCATCTCCCGAAGCACGGCTTGTCGCTACCTTGCCGCACACTGCTACATCAAGCAGAACCAGTTCGAGCAGGCGCTCTCCGTCCTCGGGGACCATAATCCAACTCATCTAGTCCGCAGCAGCAACAGCCGTCGCAAGCTGCAACACGTCAACGGCCAAAGCCATGTTACTTTGCGGAACGGAAAGACAACAGCGTCGCGGATCGACCGTGGCGAGGAGCGGGAAAAAGAAGACGCAAACAATGTCCGATTTGAGGCAGCAATGTGCTACCTGAGGGGGCTCTGTTTCGCGAAGCAGAATGCCTTCGACCGCGCGCGGGATTGCTACAAGGATGCGGTCCGGATCGATGTTCAGTGCTTCGAGGCGTTCGACCAGCTCATGAAGAACTCGCTCATGTCGCCTGCGGAGGAACTGGAGTTCCTCGAGTCGCTCGACTTTGATTCTGTCTCCAGCCCCGATCCGTCAGTCGCGCAAGAGGCCGCCCATTTTACCAAGATGCTATACACCACCCGACTGTCCAAGTACTCCTCCCCTACGATTCTTTCAGATGCCACCGAAACTCTTTCGACGCATTACAACCTATCGGAAAATCCAGATATCTTGCTATCGCGGGCAGAAGCCCTATATACACAGTGTCGGTTCGCACAAGCTCTCGAACTCACCTCGTCTATCCTCTCCACGTCGCAAACGAGTGCATCTTCGACGCAGACGGCAGCTGCAATGCACGTGTCCGCTCAAAGCCACCTTGGACATCCGCCTGCAGTCTATCCCTTACATCTGGCGTGTCTCTACGAGACCGGAGCCACAAACGCACTCTTTCTTTTGTCGCATACGCTCGCTGATCACGCTCCAGAGGAATCGTACACTTACCTCGCCATCGGCGTATACTATCTATCAGTTTCTAAGATCGCCGAGGCGCGACGGTTCTTCTCCAAGGCCTCCTTGCTGGATCCTCATTCCGCGCCAGCATGGATTGGCTTCGCTCACACCTTTGCCGCCGAAGGAGAGCACGACCAGGCGATTGCCGCGTATAGCACGGCGGCGCGGCTCTTCCAGGGCAGCCACCTACCTCAGCTATTCCTAGGCATGCAGCATCTTGCATTAAACAACATGTCCCTTGCTCAAGAGTACCTTTCGGCAGCGTACTCCATGTCCACCGGGGACGCGTCGGGGTCTGCCCCAGCCATCCGTGCCAACCCATCTTCCGAGCTAACGTCCCTTGGTGGCGACCCTCTGGTCCTAAACGAACTCGGGGTTGTCTTCTATCACCAGAACCACCTTGAGGCGGCCGTTGAACTCTTCCGCCGGTCTCTCGCACTAGCTACATCGCTGGAATGCGAGCCTGGGGCGTGGGTAGCGACGCGAGCAAACTTGGGACATGCCTTGCGTCGCATTGGGCGATTTTCGGAAGCGCTGACCGAGTTCGATGAGTGCCTACGCATTGGCGCCGCCGGCGCAAGTTTCGGGTACAGCCCATTCTTAGGGGGCAGCGGCGGGAGCGCGTCGGGCGTGGCCACGTCGGGTGTCGGAGGCTACGAAGACCGCGGGCTGGTCGGCTCATTGCACACTGCTCGCGGGCTTGTATTACTGGAGTTGAGCCGCACCATGGAAGCCGTGACAGCGCTACACGAAGCGGTACGAGTGCTCGGGGCCAGCGGGGGCGGTGATGCAGCAGGGGGCGCTGGCATCGCCGGCACACTGCTTTCTCGCGCGCTGGAGATCTGGGCACTGGAAGGCCAAGAGACCGAACAACTGGTGTTTGAAGAAACGAGAACCACAGCCAGTCGAAGCTCGACGCGATCATCCAAAGGCAAGGGGAAGAGCGTTTCCCGGCGGCGAGGGGCTCGGGAGGAATCGTACACCGAAGAATGGACCGATGAGGTGGCCCATGCCGATGCTCCCAGCGCAGCTGCGTACGCGGAAACGCTCGAAGAGAAAGTGGAGATGGAGCTGGACGACGAAGCGGACGGCATGTTGCGGCAGGCAATGAGCCGCGTGCGAGGCGGGCGCAGCAGGCGACGGGTAGTTGAGGTGGAAAGCGACGAGACGCCCGGGCCTGCGAGCGGACGGAGTCGAGGAACGAGGCTGGTGCGAAGCAACACGAGGCAGCAGTGAGATGACATTGGAGCATAGACTACTGGGCGTTCGTTTGGATGAATTATACCCGGGTATTGTTGTATTCCTTGCCGATGGATCCATAGCAGACATTATTTATTCGAGGGGGGAATGCTATTGAATGTAGAAGATGGTTCGTCGCAGCTCTGCTTGAGAGTAAATTGTACACCTGGCAGGCATTACTTTAGATGTAGTGAGGCAGCGCAGCTGACATACTGGGTACTCCGTAGTCGGTAACATAACTACTCCGTACGGAGTACTGCGTAGGCATATCGATAAGCGCACGTGATTCTCACATGATCCTATCGCTCGATAGCGGCCGGGCGCAAATCGCCTTCGCCTTCGTCGCCATCATCAAGCAATCAACCACCTTCCAACACCAACACTCTCACTTCCACTCACCACTTCCCTCCAACACCATCCTCAACCGTCACCATGTCTGAGCGAAAGGTACGTTGCTCCCGAATCACCCACCAAATCTCCATCATCAGACCAAAACTAACCACCTCAACAGGTCCTGACAAAGTACTATCCCCCGGACTTCGATCCGAGCGCGATCACCCGGGTCCCGAAACACCTGCGCAAGACGGGGCCGAAGGTGATCACTGTGCGCCTGATGGCACCTTTCTCGATGAAATGCGAGAAGTGCGGTGCGTACCAAGCCCCTATCTTCACCCGAATCCCCAATCCGCATCCCCAGTCCCAACCCCCAGTCCCCACCCCCCAACCACAACCCATACTAATATTTCTTTCCCGGCAGGCGAATTCATCTACAAAGGCCGCAAATTCAACGCGCGCAAGGAAACCACCTCGGAGAAATACTTCTCGATCCCGATCTACCGGTTCTACATCCGGTGCACGCGGTGCAGCGGGGAGATCACGTTCGTGACGGACCCGAAGAACATGGACTACCGGGCGGAGCGCGGGGCGAAGCGGAACTTCGAGCCGTGGCGCGATGCGTCGCAGCTGCCGAACCACGACGAGACGGAGCAGGAGACGCTGGACCGGCTGGAGCGCGAGGAGGGCGAGGAGGCGGAGCAGGAGGAGCGCGACAAGATGGCGGAGCTCGAGGAGAAGATGCTGGACTCGAAGCGGGAGATGGCGATTGCGGACGCGCTGGATGAGATTCGGACGCGCAATGCCCGGATGGAGCGGACGGAGGCATTGGGCGAGGAGGGCACCGTTTCGGCGTTGGAGCGCGTGCGCGAGGAGAAGGATGAGGAGGCGGTGCGCGCGGAGCGCGAGATTGAGGAGGCTGCCCGGCGCGCGTTCATGACCGAGTCCGGGGAGAGGGTCAAGCGGTTGGTGGAGGTGGAGGAGGAGCCTGCGGCGGGCGGCGGCGGCGGCAGCAGCAGCAGCAGCAACAGTGTTGGTGGCAGCAACGGCAGCAGCAGTAGCTTCCCTGGTGGCGAGCAGTCTGG